TCCTCAATTTATCGTCACAACAACCCTGTGAGGCTACATTTGAAGGTGACCCGGAAACTACAACTAATCCAGAACACGGCAGCTAGACTGGTGACCAGGAGTGGCCACCAGGACCATATAACACTGGTCCTAAAGGATCTTCATTGGCTCCCAGTGCATTTCCAAGCACAATTCAAAGTGTTGGTGCTGACCTTTAAAGCCCTAAACGGCCTTGGCCCAGTATACCTGAAGGAGCGTATCCACCCCCATCGTTAAACCCAGACACTGAGATCCTCCTCCAAGGGTCTTCTTCTGGTTCCCTCACTGCAAAAGAGATGTTACAGGGAACCAGGCAGAGGGCCTTCTCGGTGGTGGCACCCACCCTGTGGAATGCCCTCCCTTCAGATGTCAAGGAAATAAGCAACTATCTGACTTTACAAGACATCTGAAGGCAGTCCTGTATCGGGAAGTTTTAAATGTTTGATGTTTTATTATGTTCTGATATACAGTATGCTGTGAGCCCCCCAAATTATAAAATGATGATGATGATGTAGATTAGATTGAGAGATGGTGACTAGTCCAATGTCACCCAGTGAGCTTTATGGCTGAGTGGTCTCCCAGGTCATAGTCCAACACTCTGTTACACCACAAAGGTGTAACACACATGATAGTATGTTCATATAGTGGGGAGCTGCAATTTTATAGTTTTCCTGTTTTACAAGGACACTATCAGTACTAGCAGTATACAAATATGTACTCACAAAATTCTGTAACGTGCTGAAGCCCCTTTTAAATTTGCCTTTCCCAAAGCTAATTCATATTATGAATTCACATTATGAAGGATTTGATCAGGGTTCTGCACATCATAAAAATGCATGCTCAACTCCACATGGACCCAAACCCCACATCCACCCAAATCCTAGCCCTTTAGCTCTGACCAAGACTTATTTTCAACCAGGGCTCACTCAAAGCCTTTGGCCAAAGCCAGTCTGCCCTTGAAAGTCACAAGGGCAGGAAACAATAACCACAGCCATCTCCTTTTGCTCATCCCAAGGACTGGGTGCCTCTCCACATATGGAGATGGCATCAACCTCAGGGCCAATAAAACCACTGGCAGACCTGTTGTCATATTCATATATATATCTGTGTGTGTATTCTCTCTCTCTCTCTCTCTCTCACACACACACACACACACACACTGCATTTGTATCCCACCTTTTTCTCCAAGGAGCTCAAAGTGGCACACATGGCTCTCTGCTTCTTCATTTAACCCCCACAACAGGTTAGGCTGAGAGGCAGCAACTGGCCCAAGGTGACCCAGTCAACTTCATGGTCAAGTGGGGATTGGAACCCTGGTCTACCCAGGTCCTAGTCTGATGCTCTAACCACTAGACCACACTGGCTCTTTAGAAACAGCAGCCCATGTTAGTGGCCATGGTCCATTCTTATGCTAATGGATCCCCACTTAACACAGCTGATTACATGGGCACCACTTTAAACGGGGAGTTAAAGGGGAATGAAGGAGAACCAAACCATGTTTACCTCTTAATATTTAGAATTTCAAAACAGCAGACATTTTTTTTCTTTTTAAAAAAAACCATATAAAGAATAAAAACAAATAAAATTCATCACAGCAACAGAAATATATTGATATATTTTAAATATATGTGCACCATTTTGTGCATGGACATTATTTGTATATTCATTTCAGGTATTTATAGACTGCGTGATATTTGGAATGTCTAAGCGGTGTACACAAAACGGCTTTTAAAAAACCTATATAAAGAATACCAACAAAATTCATAGCAGAAACAGAAATAATCTGCATTGGGAGATTTAAATTTTTTAACTCCAGTAATTTTCGGTATGGGCATATTTTGGAGAGTATTACGTAATCACCGGTCCTGAATGATGAAGAAAAACAACGTAAATCTGAGGCTGAGCCTCATAGCAGTCAGGCTGAGCTAGGGGTGGGAGGCGGGTCGCTTTGTGCTGGGATTTAGCGAAGGTCGGCGATTTTCGCACCTAGGTGAGCTGTCATCTGGCTCTGGGCAATTCGCTTTCTCCTCTCGCATCTGTGCTGGACCAGCGGGGAACCTCGCTGGCGTGAAAGGGAGGAAAGCCTGCGGGAAGCGAGAAAGGCCTGACTCACTCACTCACACCACGCAGCGCAGCGCAGCGGCCTGTCGTCTGCTGTCCATTCATTCGTTCGTTCATTCATTCAGAATCGCAGAGAACACTTCTGACTCTCCCACCTGTTGCTTCTGAAGGACGAGTCTGGGCTCCCTCCCGAACCACCCTAAGATTACCTGGGAGCAAAAATACCCATTGCTTAATTAGTATAAAACGATCGATTATTATTATTATTGCATTGCAACAGTTTGCTTGAATGATGTTGAGGCAGACAAATAAAAAATTGAATTCCTCTGAATTTACTCGTCGAAGGTGGCATGCCTCTGAATGCCAGTTGCGGGGGAATCACCAAAGGGGAGACACTTCTTGAACCCAGCTCCTGCTTACGGGCTTCCCACGGGCATCTGGGGGGCTAGATGGGCCACTGGCACGGGCGTAGCCAAGGGAGGCAGGGGGGCAGCTGCTCCCCGCCATCAAGTAAAACAATAGAAATATTCAACTAACTGACCAATCACGTCAGTTCTGCCCCCCAGTCCTGGCTATGCCCATGGCCACTGGGCTCGTTTTATGTACTGTACTCACGAAAATGCACGACCAAGGAGGCTCCTCTGAGTTCAGCTGGGCTTACCCGCAGGCCAGGTAAAGGTGGCCTCAGGATTGCAGCCTGAGCCTCATTGAGGGCATTGTGGGCGCGGGGGGGGGGAACGTATACACGCCTAGAATTGCTCTAGGTACGCTGCGTTGTAGCCATCCCTTGAAACCTAAACACCTCCCCCCCCCAGGTGAACATGAAAGAAAGAGCTCATACGCCTCTTGTTTCCAGTGGGACGTTAATGCCCTTTAGAATGAAATCCCATTGACCGTGTAGACGACGCGCGAAATAATTTGTAGAGGTTAGAATGTTCGCGCACTTGGCACTTACAACAGCCCTGTAAGGCAGGCCGGCATTCTGACGTCCACGCGGCTCGCATCCAAGCCACCTCACCCGTTCAAGGCTGAGGCTGGGATGCGCACTGGTGCGGTCCACAGCTCACTCTCTTAGCTGTACATCTACTGAATCATTTACCTCTCCAACCCTTGTCTTGCTTCAGAAAGTCCAGGGCGGTAACTTCTACAGAGAGGGAAGGCTCGTGTATTTGTTCATTTATTAAAATCATAATATAATTGGATACCAACACAGGAAAGGCAGTCTAGTCCAAACTCTTAATCACTACTCAATGTATGATCGCACGGGAGTATACAAAATCCGGCCTCCAAGAACGCCACGATCAAGGTTACACAATATATATATATATTTATTAACAAGTCACTCCAGAATTAAAACAGTCCGGCTTGCCCACCAGAAACCAAAGGAGGTTCCTCCGGCAATGATGCTGATGGTGTTATTGCGTCATTTTTCGAATATGCTCGAGCTCCGGTTTTGGCAGATCTTAGAATTTAGAAGCGCGTAAATGGAAATATAGTAATAAAAGAATAGTTTCTCCAAATATACGTTCCTCTTCTTCTCAGCGTCTTGAGCGTCCTTCCTTGGAAGTAAAAACCCTCTGAAATTAACAGGGATCCCCTTCCAAGGAAAACGTCTTTGGGCTGGTGCTGCCAGAATAGCATATATATCTATATTCTATATATACATATAGGCAGAAAAATGACTCCAAGGAGCATACTGTATATGTAACCAGAGAACAGCTCCTCCATTGGGCTGTCAGCCTGACACTTGAAGAAGCGTCTGTGTAACCTAAAACGACCAGATACCAAAAGTATCTTTAAGATACCATTCCAATGTATCCGGGTGATCGCTCGAGAATTTGCCTCCTTGCTCTTCCAAGCTGCTAGAGCGCATTTTGGGGTCCTTAGAGTGCAAGTTTAACCCAAAGTCTGGCCTTCCTCCCCCCCGTTCCCCGCTCTCGGTTTCCCCCAGTTTAAAAGGTCCCGTTCAGATTCTCGTTTTGTCTCCACTGAGCCCTTTAATACCTTTTCTTTTGTGCGCAGAGTTTACCTTACTAACTTTTCTCAAGTTCGGTTTTCTCAGTGCTTCCAACCTCTCCTTTCTTGCAACAACTGTTTTGGCCTTTCATGGAGAGTTTTATTTTGTTTTCTTGGTGGTTGTTGTGTTTTGTTTTTTTTGCACACTCTAAAGCAATGTTACTTGGAAACAGCCGAAGCTTAAATTCCACAGATTTCCACAAAGTATGACATTGTTGGAAGGGAGACGGAGGCAGGCGTCTTGGGCATTCTTCTGCGCCTTTGGGGACTCGGACGCGCTTGGCGCGCGCTTGGCAACCAGAAAAGGGAACCGCGGCGGAAAGTGCCCTGTTAACTCTTCTTTCAAAGGGTGTGTGTGGAATCCACTCTTTTTATTAAAAGTGGACTTTTTCTTTTTTTTAAATACTCTCTGCCCTTCTTCCTCTGCCCAGCTCCGCTTGGAAGTGGCGGGTGATGATCATCTCGGGGTGATCACTTCGCGTTCCGCTCAACTCAGCTGCTGCCTCCAGCACTCGGTGGTGATGTAATAGGTGCAAGCGAGGCACATGGATCTATAAATGCCGTGGCTTGAGGGGGGTCAAGGGGCTGATGGCTGAGCAGCCGGACCAGAAGATCCCCACTCGACAGGAGCCCTCTGGGACGGAGATCAAGTTCAGAAGGAGCCGGGGCTGAGTCGATCTCCCCAACGCCCCACCTCTCTCTCTCTCCACCACGACGCTTCTGCCGGGCGCCCCCTCCCCGGGTCTTCGCCCAGCCCCTTCCCAACGTGGCTTGCTCTCCCGTGCAACCTGACCAGAGTGTCTCCAGTTCCTTGGGGGACTGAGCTGCCTGGGCTCCCTCTTTGGCACCCTCTCTCTCTCTCTCTCTCTCTCGGGCCCTCCCCCCGCCCCCCGCTTTCCTCCTGTGATCTCTCCAGTCCGAAGTGGGAAGCTCTCCTCTCTCTCTCTCTCTCTCTCTCTGGGCGCGCGGAGAGGGTATATTTTTAGAGCGATCGCCTCCCTGCTCGGCACCACGTGTGCTGCCCATGTTGCTCGGAATGACTGGCCCCTCTTCGGCCTGCTTGCCAGTCTTGCTCCTGGGACTGCTGTCGCCTTGGCTGGCCGGGCGCTGCATGCCCGCCTTCGCCCAGCCCCACCAGCAGCCCCAGCACAACGACACCCTGGAGTGGCGCTGGGAGACGCTCTTCTCGCGCTCCATGGCCAGGATCCCCGGGGAAAGGAGGGAGCCCAACCGCGACGGCGACTATCTGCTGGGCATCAAGAGGCTCAGGCGTCTCTATTGCAACGTCGGCATTGGTTTCCACATCCAGGTGCTGCCAGACGGCAGGATCAACGGGATCCACAACGAAAACCGGCACAGTAAGTCGCCACCTGCGCCCACCTGGCCAGGGACTGTGGCATTCTCCACGGGCGTGGGATCTGGCCGCTTTGCAAAGGCCCGCCAGCCCATTCCACAATTGCCTTCTGGGGAGTTTTGACGTTCCTTTAACGACAGGGTTAAATCTTACCACTTCGGAGCTCACCGGGCAGTTTTCTCCTGGGAGGGTGTGGGAATAATGATCATCTGATGTCATCAGTCCCTTATGTTCCGGTCTGGTCTGGAGCGCATTTTCTTGCATGCAGGGAGGTGGACTAGAGGACCCTTGGGGTCTTCTCCACCAGCTCGACAGTTCTGTAATTCTACCTAGAATCGCCCGAGCAAAGGTGCTTAGTCAAGCAATGCAAGGAAAAGGAAGGGAAAGAGGGTCTCAGCAAAGCGGGCCTGCGCTGCTTTCGATGCCACCCAGGTGATCAAGTCCCTTAGACCAATAGTATTGACCCAGCCTCCCCAAAAGCAAAAGCAAACAGATTCGGAAGCCAGCAACTTCGGAGATGCCTCCGTTAAACTGGTGGAACTAAAGGGCGTTTTGTCAGGTTTCTATGGTTAGGAAACACTTCTGCAGACGGGGGAGAAATATGTCAGGTGTGGCGATTTTACTGTGTGTTGCTTCATCGCATTGCGCATATGCAGCAAAACGCATGCATGTGAAGATGATCGCCCCTGTTGATTTGCCATTTTCATGCTGTTTCCCTTATAAATAAGTTTATTCCTTGGGCATTTTGTGTGTTTGGTCCAAGGGAAATTGCAGTGTGTGAAGAGTCTCTTAATGGGATCTGTTAGTCATTTCTACCTCCATACTCAATTTTGAAGGGGGGGAAAATAGTCATATATGGCAAAAGAGTATGATCAAATTATTCCATTTTTAAAGCCATTAGTCCTCATGAATGCATAGGGAAAGTGTTTAAAATACCTAATGCAAAGTGCCAGCTTGGGAACTATTCATTTTATCTTCTGTATAACAGCCCGATGCCATTCAGATGTTTTGGGTTACAACTGCCATCAGCCCCAGCCAGCACAGAGTTTGGGGGCGGGGGGGGCAACAGGTTGGGGATGACTTCTCTATCATTTAGGCAGCTATATATTCTGTGGCTGGCTGAGTTACTCTTGCTCTAGAGTGGGATACGGGAGGACGGCAATCTAAAATGTAAAAAAAAAAAAACAGCATTCTTAAATTCTGGGTTTGTAAGCTTGGTTGCATTAGGTATTTCAAATGGAGTTCGGTCCCAGAAAATAAACCACTTTGCTCATCCCCAGCTCTGAGTTCAGGAACTGGTTACACAGAAAAAAAAAGTTGCGTCACTCCCACTGTGAACAGAGTAAACTGTCTTGAAGCAATTGTTGCATGGGCTCCTAGAAATACTACTACTGATCAAAAGGAATCAGGTGTTTTTCACTGTCCCAGCGGGAAGCCTCCTGGTTTGCAGTGAGACACTGCTCAAATAGCACCCCCCCTTCCTTTTGCAAGAGGGTTGCAAATAGTTAATTTGGGATTCCAGATCCCACAGAAGCTCTGCCAAGAAGTTAGGGCAGTCCACTAGGAAAAGCATCTGTTAGTGACTTAACCTCATGGCCCTGTGGCTCTAATTCTAACTACGGTCCAACTGAAACAATAGGACTGGGGAGGAAGGGTTAGAGACAGCAGCATGACAAATGTTTCACATGTCCTGAAACATATTGTTACTTATTTTAACCTGGACGATGTGGGGGATCACTGCCAACCATTAAAACATGCACACACACATACACACACACAAACTCTTTAACCGTATCCGGGTGCTTTTGTGGTGCTCTGCTGTCACTTAATGAATGGAAGGAGTTTAAAGGAGTTCAGTTCACTTAAGGAATGGAATTGCACAGGACTCCTATACACACTTACCTGGGAGAAAATCCATTCATCTCAATGGGACTGACTTCTGAGCCTGCATGCATAGAGTTGCCAATGTAGACTGATTATTAGGCAGCAAACCTCATCAGGGTCAATCTACACACATGACAACTGCCACAGAGAACCACTTCAAACCAGTCCATGTGCAGTGTTTAGCACATGGAAAGTCATTCAGTGTGGCCAACCAGAAGGGGTAGTTTGACCATGTCAACACAGTTCGTTCCTTTTCAGATATCTGGGCGATCATGGGGGAAATAATAATGCGTGGTGCATGCAGTAGTAGATGTATATGGGGAGAGGAAGACTAAATTGTGCCCCTGAGTAGAGATTCACCCTACTCTGCTGAAGCATAGTGCCTTGATAAGCGTGTGTGTGTTCAAGGCTGCAAAATGAAGCTTGGCACCCAGAGCGTGATTCCTATTGTCCAGTATTATTGTGTCATTAGCCTGCATCCTTGCTAGATGCTGCCAGCTTCTAGGAGCTGAGCCTCTATCACGTAACGGTCCTTTGTTTGCATCACCACAACTTTTCCAGTAATTTGAATGTCAGTTACTTTGGCTCACTCAGTGAGAAAAGCAATTTCTTATTATTATTAGAAGATTGATCAGTAAATAGATAGATAGATTAGATATACGCAGTGCTTTTTTCTGAGGGGTACTCAACAGTTTGTAGTACCAGCACTTTTTTTAATGGATATATTAAAAGTTTGGTACTTACTGTAACAACTTCATGGTGAATGCCAGCACCATTTTTCTAGAAAAAGCACTGGATATATTATTATTATTATTTATTTATTATTATTTATTAAATTTGTAGACAGTCTTAGATGGGACACAGGAGGCGTTGTGGGTTAAACCACAGAGCCTAGGACTTGCCGATCAGAAGGTCGGCGGTTCGAATGCCCGTGAAGGGGTGAGCTCCCGTTGCTCGGTCCCTGCTCCTGCCAACCTAGCAGTTTGAAAGTACGTCAAAGTGCAAGTACATAAATAGGTACTGTTCCAGCGGGAAGGTAAACGGCGTTTCCGTGCACTGCTCTGGTTCGCCAGAAGCGGCTTAGTCATGCTGGCCACATGACCCAGAAGCTGTACACCAGCTCCCTTGGCCAATAAAGCGAGATGAGCGCCGCAACCCCAGAGTCGGTCACGACTGGACCTAATGGTCAGGGGTCCCTTTACCTTTATACTGTCCTATACCTGTAGATCTTAGGGCGTTCACAACATGAAACCACAATATAAAAAAACAGAAAATACATAATAAAAACAAAAACAAAGACAACACAATAATCCCCCCTTCCACAACATATTTTAGAAGGGTATATACAGTAGACATAGAATTATTAACAGTAGGATGTCCCTCCAACCTCCATTATCACACACTGACAGACACCAAGTTGTACATTCGCATGTTCCACCACACACACAACCATAGGAGAAAATCGCATCAACCTTGCTCTATACAGCTTAGCACATGAGAGTCACCACCAAGTGGGGCAACTGAAAGTATTTTCAACAAAGTGACAGTAACACATAGAGCAAGCCTACATCTACGCATTAGATTGCTTTAAAGAAACCAAGCCTTTGGATCACAACTCGTTAATTCTAGAGTATCCCAAAGAGATCGAAGGAATTGCTCTGAAGCTGAGCACCTTGGAGATTGTTGAACAAAGTCATCTGTTCACAATACATAGGATGTGCTTAGGAGTGGACTATTCCCAAACACTTACTTCTGAGTAGCCCCATTGATTACATCAGAAAATGGATTCAGAATTGTATCATTGCTGCTAAATCAGTATAGCATCCTCTTATCCTTTTCCAGAGGGACATCTATGTTAGTCTCTTGGAGCAAAAACAACAGAGACTGGTGGCATCCTAAAGACTAATATATTTATGATGGCATAAGCTTTCATGGACTATGGTCTATTTCATCAGATATATGAAATGTTATTCTCAGTTGCTGGTATTTGTGATTTAAGAGAACAGCAATGGCTTACACTCAGATATATCTCTTAGCTGGCTCCCTATGCATTTTTCCCCTTCTTACAGGTTTGCTTGAAATCTCTCCTGTGGAAAGAGGAGTGGTGAGCCTCTTTGGTGTTAAAAGTGGACTCTTTGTAGCCATGAACAGTAAAGGCAAACTCTATGGAGCTGTAAGTAGTCTTGAACGTGCTCAACTATGTGTCTTTTAAAGTGTTGATGTGTTGTTTTGATGTAAAATGGAGTGCTCCTAAGTCTTGACCCTCTCAAAATATATTAACATGGAAACCAATGAGAGATACCCAGCTAAGTAATGCTCAGAGCAGAGTAGTCTATTGATTTTAGTGGTTCTGCTCTAAGCAATACAAACATCGAATATCAAACAATAATTCCACACACACCCTTTTATTTGATGAATAACACTTTAAACTGCAGGAAAATCAGCACAGAAATATTTGAACCAATGCATATTTTAATAGTCAGGTTAGGTTACTGAGCAAGTCTCAGTGGCAGTTGTTCAGTTATCTTCAGTGTGGACTATGGTAGAGAACTATAAGTGCTTGGGTACCTCCCTTGCCACTGGAATCTTAATGTGCAAGCTTAATGTGCAAAAAATAAAAAAGACAGCACCTGGTTATCTTGTTTGGCAAGTTAAAGGGCAATACAAAAAACTTCAATCTGATAATATAAGGATTTACACATATTTGTTTTTACGAGGCGATAAAAAATAAATTCCAAACTGTGTTCCAGGGACACATTTGTGTGGTGCTATTGCACAAATATATTTAAATAAAATAAAATAAGGATGCAACCCGATATAGAGTACGCTTACCTGGGAGCAGTGCAGTAAAGTAGCAGTAAAGAGAGGGGGCTGTGCTTGCTGTGTCTCGACAACATCTGATGCTCTGGCTTTCCCCCTTTTCAATTAGCCTCTGCTGGAGACTGCATTGAGTGTGACTGCACCAGTCATTCTGATGCAGAGGTCCAGTAGAATTATCTGCCCTCTGAGAAAGCCTGTGTAGGGCAGCAACATGTCATTGGACACCAGTTCCATGGAGAGCCACAAGCTCCCCAAAGCTACTTGATTTAGAGCATCCAAAACATCACAAAATAGTGAGCAAGCTTTTGAGTTCTCCGGAGTTTTTCTTCAACCTGGGTGTTAGGGAAGGAAACATGGGAGAAAGAGCTGGATATGATGTTGGAGTCCCAAAGCCTGCCACTTTTACTAGTCTTAAGATGGAGTGCCAGAAGATTTTGGGATGGGGAACTTGGACTCTGGGTTGGACTCTGAACTCCCATCAGCCCCAGTCAGCATGGCAAATGGTCAAGGCTGATGGGAGTTGGAATTCAACAACATCAGGAGGGCCACAGGCTCCCCATCCTGCTTTAGATAGTCTCAAGGAGCTCCCAGGTCGAAGTTGGTTGTGGAATTGGCGCTGCTCACCCACACCGGTATTTGCAGGGTCTGCTGAACATTGTCATCATCAAATTGCTGGCATTTTAATCTGCATTCCTCCTTACTTCAGAAAATCCAACATGGAAAAACAACTCTCTCTCTCTCTCTCTCTCTCTCTCTCTCTCTGTGTGTGTGTGTATATATATATATATGGTTACTGGTGGTATGGAAGTTTATGCGTGCATTTCCCCTCTGACAGGTACATTGTCACATGTGTAGTGATGTTTCTGTGGCCTCTAATGCTACGTTCTTACTTCCATTTCTTCCTCATTGAGGAAGCCATTTTGTTTTCAGTGGCCCAAAGGATAGGACCATGCCAGCAATTGCTGGATGCTGAATTCACATTTGAACATTCTAGTTAGGAAGAGCTGCTCTCTCAAGATCTCCATCCAAGACATTACCTTGCAGCTGGTAACATAGCACATACATCATGCTATAATGATAATAATATTGATTGTAATGATATTAATAATAATTCTTCGGAATGCTTGAGCAGTCAACATTATTCAAGCAAGTAAGCAAGCAAACAATGGGAAACGGATATTCTACCACCATCCCTTGACAGCACAAGCCTTCAATTTGTCTATCATGACACATGATAACTAAGTCAGGCAACATTTGCTCTTGTGCACTAAGTAGCAATTTTTGGTGCATATTCACAGGTACAGAAATACCTGTGTGCATGCCCAGTATTGAAGATGGCTATGGATATATTGCATTATGGTCAACCCACTAATTTGGATGGCAAGCAGTGGAATAGCAATGAAGATCTATGACTGGAAAAATGGAAATGTGTTGAAGCTAACCAAACACACACAGAGAACAATTGGATCTGAATGATCCAGTTGTAGTCTGGAAGCAATCCCAGTCTGGAAGCACCAAGCACCATTAATTAGCTAAGTCCCGGCAAAGTTCAAAAGAGCTTTCCTCTTGCACAAGGAGCTGCTGAAACTAAGAAGCAAGAAGTGCTGCTTCCTATATTTTGAAAATATAAAATCTAGCAATGGCTCAGACCTATCTCCAGCACAGATTCAGTCCCTTGTAAGGTGAAGTTTGGTTTCCAATTTTAATTTAAAAAGAACATGTATTGGAGTTATCTAAAGTGGGGAAAACACATTGTGCCGCAATCTGATGAGCAATTGCACCATTTGCTTATTGGCCATTGTTTGAAAAAGGGACAAAGCAAATCAGTAAATGATATTCAGACTTCAGATACACAAATATTCATCTGATCTTCTGGAGAAGGATTTAGTTGTTTGTATCTGCATTTTTACAAAAAAAAAAAAAGTTTTACAAAAAACACACAAACAAACCATACACAATCTTGAGAACAAATAGCCAAAGGCATTTCATTTCTTGAGGCCCACTTGGTTACTAAAAATAATGCAAGTCTTGTTTATGGTCATTTCCAGCTGTCCTTCTCTTGTGGCCTCGCTGTTTGTCTAAGCTCATGTGAGCAGGGCTTTCAGTCCAATGATTCCGCAACGGGATCACTTTTGCATTGACTTGTCCTAAAGAGCTATGGATGCAAAAGGCTCAAGGCTTTCATTGCAAAAGTCTTTAACCTTGGACTTCTTCTCACTTTGGGAGATATAATTGAGTGTGATGCTTCCTTTTGTTTTCTGCGTCTATAGAGATTTGTCACCAATTATCTTTTCCCTTCTGCAGTATTATAACATTTTGTGTGTTTGAGCAAAGGCTGCATCCTTTGCTCTACATCTCAGAAAAAGCCCTTAGAGCAGCTCTGCAGCAGCGGCAGCTCAAAGGCCTTTCTATTCCTTCTAGCAGGGCTCAAAGGCAGGAACCCCTTTCCACTGTTGCTTCCCAGCAGCTGGGATTCAGTGGGTTACTGATTCCAGAAATTCCTCATAGCCATCATGGCTTGTGACTATTGATAGCCTGGTCTTTCATGAATGTCTCATTCTCCTTCAAAAGCAATCTAAACCAGTGGCCATGATCACCACGTCTTTGTGCTACTACATGCCATATAAGAACATTTGAGTATAAAATGTCCAAACCACAGTCCACAACACCTTAGTTCCAGTTGGAGAAAGTAGTTTGTGGATTACTGGGGTCCACAAGGGCCTTGAGATGCCACACTTGCATTTACGTAGCGTATTGAGCGATGGCATATGTAGTCTTTGGGTTGTAGTATAAAAGTCTACATGCAGAGAAGATGCAGGTCAGTGGAGACTTGGAATAGTGCAAGATCTTTTCTTGCAGTGTCTCTGAGAAAAAGCCAAAGCCTTGGGCTTGTAATGTATCCTCTAGCTGTGATGTTGCTATTTGCAACATTTGCAAAAGTCAAGATCAGCTCAAGATTAGCAAAGTAGAGGGGAGAAGTAGTGAACTTAATGTGAAGGCTCAGAAGGTCAGTGTTCCAGCGACCAGGGATCTTGATTTCCCAGGAGATGGGGCAAAACCAAACAATGGACAAGGCTTAGAATTGTGTACCTGTCAGTAACTCTGTCTAGCTTCCTGTTTTACTATATCTTCCCATTAGATTTAGTCATTTTCCTCATCAGTGTGCTGTTCTGAACTTCAACAACTCTTTGCAATTTGCTTGGCGGATTCCCATCAGTTTCAGAAAATCTGTTTCTAATAAACCAACAGTTCTGACTTTGACCCTTGGATGGTGATCAGCATTCTATGATGGAGATACATGGGTGTTTTCCCCCTCCCCCCTCCCCCCCAGCTCTGGCTATGCCATATATGTTTTTTAACCTGGGAAAACACCATTCTCTTTCACTCCCTACCCGAGATAGTGCATCGATACAATAAAGATTGCACTGTGGAATGTGGTAGTGCAGGTATCATTGGGGCACCTATCAGATTTTGCCTGCGATATGTATGGAGATGAGCCCCACGACTCTATCCCTATGCCATTTTGTAACTTTGAAACGCCCTATTTCAGCAAGCCACAAAGCGACTTTATTTAGGAAGAATGCTGGGAACACAAGCAAAACTCTCCCTGCCCCTCTCCCACCCTTGCCTCTTTATACAACCCTTTTAGCTTACTCCTCCGGGGCTGAGAATTCCCCCTCTCTAGTACTAGAGTGCATAGCTCCCCTGATAAAAATCTCCCTTCGAGTCCAATCTCCCTTCTTCGAAACATCCTTAATGTAATGGAAAGATGTCTCCCTCCCACTTCATTTTTAAGGCAGCTGCCTGAGGATTTTCCATGCATGTACAGATCCTAGAGGGTTTACAGTTGCAAGTGTAAGAGGAGACTTTTCCCTGCAGTTGAGTGCATGCACCCACATGCTTCAAACAGCCAATTCATTTAGTTGTGTGTGTGTGTGTGTGTGTGTGTGTGTGTGTAGCATTCAGCTATGCACTACTCAGAGTAGACCCATTTAAATTAGTAGACCTAACTTAATCATGTTTCATAATTTCAATACATCACTCAGAGTAAATCTTAGTTGACTTTGACCCATAGATTGCTGAGATGAGGCTGGAGGTCTGACTGGCCAAACAGTCAGAGAGCAGATTCCGTGGTGGAATCACTGTTGGGGTAGATATCCCTGGAATCATTATTGCGGTGGATTTCTGAGGTGGATACTGAGATCTACCCCCAATGTGGGTCAGAAGATAGCGGAGGCTATTTGCAGTTTGTACTGTGTTGCTGGATGGAGACATGCTACTGGAAAGCATTATGTACTAGCAGCTGAAAGACCATGCCAGTATCCTTAACTGCAGGCGGACTTGACGCTGTGTTTGTGCACCAAGCACAGATGAATCATTTTGTAAACCCGTATGAAGCATACAGGTAGGAATGCAGGCACCTGAAGATATCCAGGTGCTGAGTCCCAGTGGTGGTGGTTTGTGTGAGCAAATATGTAAGAAGCATTTCCAGGGGGAGGGAGAAGGTATACATTGCAGTAGGCATTGGGGTGGGCAGCTTCTGCCAACACTGTATTACCTATGCTAGTGCTTTGTTAAGGCCAAGAGTCCAGAAATGGATCTCCTAGGCCTGGAGTGCCACCGATAAGAAATTGAAAAGTTTGGAGACAATGTAGATTTTTATTTTGCTGCTTCTAACCATTTCAAAAAACCAGCATGAAGTGAGACGCTGGGCTGTGCACCAAACAAAAGATTCAGTACAACCTACAGTTTGGCACATTGGAAAATTGCCCAATTTGATCTCAAACGCTTTGAAGGCTGCCCCATTTGACTTGGGTCTGAATTTGAATTCCTACTGAGAAAAAAATGAAGTGTCAGGCCTCTCCCATTAAGGGGATTTTTAAAAACGGCTGTAGCCTTTCCCTTTTGACAAAATTGGGTGAAAGTTTCATGCACCGTGTGTCTTTTATATGAATAAGGCCTTGCAGAAAAATAGGTCTAGAGGATTGTTTTGTTGTTGTTGTTCTGGACACCTTTACTTTTTGTTTTTAATGGAACTGTCCATATATCTTCTCTATATTTGTTGGCAGAATTGGGTAAAATTTGCAGGCAAGGTTATAATAATTTTATAATAATTTATTATTTCTACCCCCAGCCACTCTGGGCGGCTTCCAACAGAACCTTAAAAACAGAATAAAACTTCAAACATGAAAAACCTCCCTAAACAAGGCTGCCTTCAGATGTCTTCTAAAAGTTGGATAAAGTTGGATAGTTGTTTATTTCCTTGACATCTGATGGGAGGGCATTCCATAGGGTGGGAGCCACTACCGAGAAGGCCCTCTGCCTGGTTGCACCTTACAGTGGGGTAGGAGAACTGGGGGGGTGGATCCCCTTTTATTTTGTGGGCAATTTGCGTAAAAGTAATGTATGTTATTCAGTGCTCTCATATAAGAAACCTGCCAAATTACAGGCAAGCAGGTCTGGGGTGCATGTGCTAGGTGCATGCAAAAATTGTTTTTTTAAGGGGGAGAGAGAGGAGCAAACCTGTTTCCCTCCCTGTGGTTTTGTAGGCCATAAGATTAGTATGAAAATGGCATTGATCATAGCAGTGCCACCAGGAAAGTAAGATGTAACATTTCAGAAGGATGGGTGCTGGGGCTACAGAGTTACAAAGAATGGGAAGACAAACAGCTTCACGTCTTCACATTTTTAATCGGCACAAAAGATCTCAGAAATACAGATTTGACAGGCATGGATTGTGGACTGTGCGTCTCTCCCAGGCCACACCCCTCACTTCCCCTGCTCTGTGTTCTCCTTTTGTACTTTTTCTGGCTGGAATGGTCCCTTAAACTGTGATAATGTGATGGAGAGGGGGGGTGTATGCATGCATGCGAAATCCTCTGGTTTTTGTGTGGTTGCAATGTAGCCTAATGTTGCTCCATCCACTTTTGCCTATGACCACACCCACCACTGGCACGCAGCATTCAGAAGGGAATCCACAGCAGACCTAGAGCATTTGCCATCCCTGTGCATGGATTTAGGTACCCACTCTTATCCTGTTTTCTCTGATCTGTCATGTGGGTGAATATGCCATTAGGGCAGGCTGCTCATGAGTGGCTTGTGGATCTCAGAGGACTGAGCCTGATTGAATGTGTCCAAAACACGTCAATAAAATCTCCATGTGGAAGTGCTCCTAATCTAGGCATGGATTATTTGTGTTCATTCATAAATCTGTTCTGTCCAATTTCCTTGCCAATCTGCATATGTTTTTAAAACTCCTTTAAAAAACTGCATTGTTAAAAGTATTTCCCCCTCAGTATCTACAATTTTTTGTACATATTTCATTTGAAAAATACATATTTTCTGTATTACAACCTAAAATACACATTTCATTTGCATATTGGTACTTGTTTGTTTTTTTTTGACCCAAGAATTGTATTTCAAACTTCAGAAAAATGCAGAAACCACAGTGCCCCTATCATGTAATGTTTAAAAATGGTGATGGGATGAAATTCTTGAGCAGCCCTCCAAGCGTGATTCAAAGCCTGTGGGGTTTTTTTTTAAAAAAAAATCATGGTCTCTGTCTCAAAAGGGCAATTTGAAGCCTCAGTTGTACAGTATGATACACTTGAAAGGAAAACTAGAAAAGAGTCAGCTGCTGAGGTGTATCGTCCCTGCACCTGTTCTACAAAACAAACAAATCTTTTCTACATCTAAGTCCCTGTTCTGCAAGAAAGAGCTTGTGGTCTCTGTGGCTCACAGGAAATATTAATGAACGCAAAATGGAGCATCAAATACCACTTGTGTGAAGTTAACTTTCTGTCTGCTGTGCAGCTATGAGAAGGCACAAGAGTCCTCCCCGCCCCCCCCGAAAAAGTTGGCAACCTCTAAATTCTCCCGTCAAATACTTTGAGAAATATATTATTCTTGAAAAGTGGTATACAGATGTGCTAAGAGAAATATAATAGCATATTTATTTAATTTTGTAGACCGCTTTGTTTTTCAGCAGAAATCTCTGACTTCTGATCCCTAACAGAAAACTTCCATTGTTCTCTCTCCCTCCCTCCCTCTACCCCCAAATTCTCATTTCAGAATCATTTCAATGATGAGTGCAAATTCAAAGAGATCCTGCTGCCCAACAACTACAACGCCTACGAATCCCAGATCTACCCCGGGATGTACATAGCCCTGAGCAAAAATGGACGAACAAAGAAAGGCAACAAAGTCTCTCCCACCATGACAGTGACACATTTTCTTCCTAGGATCTGAGCGCTTGTCCCTTCAGACTTAACCTCAGGGAAGTGGGGAGGAGGCGAGAGACCCGAGAGGCGGAGGAGGGGAAACCTATGGTGCACTTTTCTTTTAAGAGTTTTATGCAAGAGTAGATGTAAGATATTTAAATTATTTAATTCTGTATATATTGCCAGAAAGTTATTTATAGTTCTGATTTTTAAAAAAGAAATTCCTTTAAAAAAAAAGACAAAAAAAGCATAAAACAAAATCCTCCGACTTAAGCTATTCATTGCACAATGCAACGACAGAGGACTCTTTTGCATTGTGGCTTATTTTACTTTGTTTTGGGTAAGTTATCACAGGTGTGCTGCTATTATGTGTTGTTGTTTTTTAAAACGTGAAATCCGATTCCTATATTTACAATGTTTTGCACTGTTCTCTGTGTTGTACAGTGTTGGCTAGTGAACATGATTTTTTTGTTTTGTTTTGTTTTTTTAAAGAAACCAATGATAACTGCCAGGTAAGGTCTTTAGTCTTTGAAGAATGAGTGGGCAAAACCTCCCTCTTGTTCTGATGCCAGCTTGTTGCAAGCAATGCACAATGTCTGACCTCCTTTTGTGCAGCATCGTTGCTTCATTGAAATGGTATCAGTTTACTTCTGGTGCAGAAAGTGCAGTGTTGAAGTACCACCCTGAAAAGCTGTTTTTAGATCTGCTGCTGTTGAACTCTGAACTTCCCTGCAGTCAATCTCTTCGGAGCCCCTGAGACGCGATTCACCAAGTAATATGGGAGAATGACTCTTTTGAACTAACATGGAGGCTGCTCAGCAGCAGTGCTTGGTGAATTGTGCCCTTAGCAGACAACTCTTAAACATGTAGAATCAATTTCCAGGAATATTATTCTATTTTAACTTTAAAAACAAAAACAAAAAAACTGGACAAAAGCAAACCTTTTGACCCATCAGTAACTGTGTGCTCACTTTCTTCCCTCCATCAAGGTTCACACTGTGTGAAACCAGTAGGCCACAATTAATTAGTAACATTTGATTATTTGATTTAAATGTGATAACTCTATTCCTCTTCCCTGCCAAATGTGTAATTCTGGCAATGTCTGAAGAGCATGTCATCAAAAAAGATATCTCTCTCTCTCTCTCTCTCTCTCTCTCTCTCTTTCTCTGATATGGCCAGATGACTGAAGTTTCTCTACATCCTTATTGATGTATTGGTGTATTGTTCCTCTACTTCCTTATTGATGTATTGTTTTTAATGCAATATTTAGAAGGAGAAAATGTGCTGCTGCCTTTAAGGCTGCAATCCATAACCCACTATAGTATGTCTAAGCTACCTTAGAGCACACTGCTGTAACAGAAACTGGCTTTGATGCTCTGGTTGGTAGCTGTGCTTGCTGCAAAGTGATCATCTGAGTGATCGCCAGAGATGCATGAGGGCAGTCCCTCGCTGGGAAAGGGCCTGTTAGTGGTACGCTTTGGAGACGAGTCATTCCAGTGATCACCGGCACTGCTAGCAGCTTGAGATACAGCTCTCCTACTTTCTGGCATAGCAATAGCTGATTATCCTGGACCTCAGTAATTTTGTGAGAAAGTCTTGCCCGTAGATGGCAGCTTTCAGAAGCCAGGATCACTTCTGGGGAGGCCAAAATCCGCTTAGAGTACAGTCAGGATATGGCAGCTGAAGGGCTCTGGGATATGGTGGAAGCCTTGCTACACTAGCAGGACCTGGATTATGTCTTTGCTCCTGGACTAATCTGGTGCAAATACATGAATACGCTGGCACAACTCAACGCTGGCATATCTGTGTTGCAGGTGCATCAAGATGTGGGAAGGGAAATGGGTGGGGCAGAACAGATGCAGATGTAGAGCCAAACTGCCTCCAATGACAGTGCAGCTTTGCCCCCGGCATGATGGAGTAAAGGATATGGCACATTGCTCCAGCATCAGTGCTCCCACAGCATCAGTGGACTATAGGATTGCTCTGCCTGTTTGTTACATATGCAGTTGACCTACTGTGATGTAAATGGCTTATGGGTTGCAGCCTTAGGATTTCATTCCCTGACATAACTGATTCATGTCTACCTCACTCATTCTTGAAGCCAGTTTCCTAACACAGTCTGCATGGAAGGTGCATACATTTCTCTCTCTCATACCCCCCTCCCTGTTCATTCAGTGTTGTAATTCCCCTGTGGGAGGGGGCATCCAAAATCCCCCCCTCCCTATGTAGCCAGAAGTATTCCAGATAGTGCTGGTTGCATCCAATTTGAGCCTTGTCACGTTTGTGCTATCTTTACCCAGTGATTTACTTTTAGTAAGGATAATCATGGTGAAAATATTTGCAGACAGCTGTCAGGCTGCAGCACTATATGGCCATCCAGTAACCCTATATTTTTCTTTATATATTTTGTGAATGTAAACCATGTCTTTAAAGCAAAGAATGAGCAGGCAGGTTTAAGAATGGTGGCAGGGGGGTGGAGAAGCGGAGAAAAGGAAAGTCTAAAACTTCTACTAAGTTTTGAGCTGATTGGATGTCTTTTTTAAATAGAAGTGAAACTTTGAAAGCAATATACAAAGTTCTTGGAAAACAACAGCTAGGAAGCCTTAGCAATAGCTCACACGGTTCTGATTTGAGATCTGCAGCCCCAGCAAATTGAGGGTTATGATGAGGCATAATTCTAGTTGCTGCAGAAGAGCAATATCACAGATACAATATTATGCTGCTGTTACTGCAGGCAGCCTTGCTGCCACAGAGATTTATGATGGGAGTGGGCAAGCTGATGCCCTCAATCACTTTGTCTAGATAGGGCTGCTTTAGACCACAATCTGGAAACTATTCCCATTGACTTCAGTGGGGTTTCTTAAGAGTATATATGCAAATGTCTTTCATCTATAGCCTAACAAACCTTGAGTCGCCTGGTATTCAGTCTGCCTTGTTCCGCTTTCCTCTTTATGGCAGGGATATAGGAAGCCAACTTACCGTATTTTTTGCTCTACAAGACTCACTTTTTCCCTCCTAAAAAGTAAGGGGAAATATGTGTGCGTCTTATGGAGCGAATGCAGGCTGTGCAGCTATCCCAGAAGCCAGAACAGCAAGAGGGATTTCTGCTTTCACTGCGCAGCGATCCCTCTTGCTGTTCTGGCTTCTGAGATTCAGAATATTTTTTTTCTTGTTTTCCTCCCCAAAAAACTAGGTGCGTCTTGTGGTCTGGTGCGTCTTATAGAGTGAAAAATACGGTATATCAAATCGAACCATTTGTCCATCTAGCCTAGTATTGTCTCCTTGTGACTGCCAGTAGCTTGCTAGGGCTTCAGATGGAGGTCTATCCCATCATCTGCTATTCAATCCTTGTAACTGGAAATTGATTGAACCTGGAACCTTCTGTATGCAAAGCAAGCGATGATCCTGGCCCACCAAGTCTCAAGGGTGGATCAAAATGGCTGAGCTTGAGCCATTGTCCCCCTTTCAGGTGGCAAAATCAGGTGCGGCCATATTGGGGGGATGTGGGGGGATTTTTTAGTTTGAGACATTTGTGTTTTGGGCGGGGGAGGTTACTATCTTCCTGTTTCTTTTGTAACTTTCAAAATCTGCTGGGAGGGAGGGGTGGTGGCCCAGAGCCCAGATGTTGTCTTTAAGGTAACCAAGTTTTGTTACCCAAACTTGGTGAAATTTGTGGGGAAGGGCTGTAGTTTAACATTCAAACATTTGCTTTGCATGCATAAGGTTCCAGTTTCAGTCCCTGGCATTTCCACGCAGGGCTGGAAACAGCTCCTGTCTGAAACTCTGGAGAGCTGTTGCCATTCAGAGTAGGCATCCTAAGCTAGATAGACCTTCGTGGCAGGAGAAGATAAGGCAGCTTTCTAGCCAGTTTGTTTAAATGCTGGTCAGTATCAAACCATGTCTGATAAACTTGACTTGCTGACTACTTGTAGTAAGCTAACCAAGTTCAGACACTGCAGGGCATTCTGCTTAGTTTAAAAGTGAAAGTGAAAGCTCCTCCTGTTCTGCTGATAGCCACAGAAAGCAGAGCTGGGAGCCTTCAAGCCTGGGGCTCATATAAGCTCATGCCTGTGCACGTAACAGTAAACTGTAACTGGTGCCATGGGCGTAGCCAAGAGGGGCAGCTGCCCCCCCAATCAATAAAAATCAATAAAATTACATAGCAAACTGAGGTTCTCCCCCACCCCACCCAAAAAATCCTAGCTACAATCATGGTGCTACATTAAAAAAACAACAACACCACCTTATGTCTTGGAGTCATGTGTGTATCATCAAAATACCAAGGCTGCAGAAATTCATCTTTCATTTCATTTTCTTTTCTTTTTTTTACATTCCTGTATATTACTAGAATTACACATACATGAACCATATTGTGCTTATGAATGACTTGCATAGATACTGTAATTAATGGATGATCTTGAAGAATAAAGCTACTCATAGGTATTGTTGGAAGCTAATTCAGAATTTGGGGAGTATGGAAGATGAACTTCCCTGGTCTGAAACACACACACCCCAATTATAAGGTGAGGCCAGACCCCTCCAAAGTTGGGTCTGGCACAACGTGGGGTTGCCCCATCCCCATTGCTAGCCAGTTCTCTCTCAAAACCATTTACCCTCTCCGGTTCCTCTCAAAACAACCTTACCCTTGAGAAAAGGGAGGGGGTAACAAAAGTGGCAACGGGCAATTTTATGTTTTGGACTTAATGCTCTTGCATTAAGTATGTGTTACTTTGCTCCAGAAATGTGGTAAGTCAGCCCTACTGTGTTTGGAAGCAAAAGATTGGTTTCCCATTTCCTATTTCCCCCCAGGGATAACTTGGAAATAACCAAAGGGGCTTCTCCAAGCATTATTTGAGAAAGCTGGGACAAAATCAGCTGATTCTGAACAGAGCCAATGAGAGTATTCCATCAGTGCGATCAGAATATAGCTGGACCAGGGTTTCTTTAAACATAGGATGGGAAACCTGTGGCTCTCTTGATGTTGTTGGACCACACTTTCCATCATCTCTGGCCATTTTCCATGCCGGCTGGGGCTGAAAGGAGTCTGACAAAACCTGGAAGACCACAGATTCTCCCATCCTCCAAACCATCTTGCTTCTGTTTATTTTATCCTAAGTGAAATAAGCTCTTGGCATCATGGGATGCTAAAGTGTTTCTGGGCAGTCTGAGGTATTTCTGTATCCTTCCTTCCTCTCTCTCTCGCTCTTCTCCTCTTTTCCTCTCAC